CCTAATAGAACCTTTTGGGCTTTGAGTGTAATATATGATGGCTCTGCTAGTGTTCAGATATGCCAACAATGCCTTTAAACAGCAAGAATTTCTGCAAAACGGCGTCAGCTTAAGCATGTGACAGACTTGTAACATCTGTGGGCAATCAGGTCCTTCTGTGGTCCTTGTGTGTTCTCAGCATACCGAACGTCTGCCTACGTCTGCGGGTGGATAGGATGGGATTATTCTTTCTCTGAGGACCTACACTCACTAGCAAATTTGTTTTCATATTTGAGAAAGAATAGGATGCTGGTTTATGATTTTAAAATTATAAAATTATTGCATAATAAAATATTGCAGCATGTCCCTGCTGGAGGCGCTAAACGTGCGTTCCCCATGGAAAGTTTCCTTTGGACTTGCTAACTTGCGTGATTATGGCCTGTGTGAAAATATGGAGCTATACGTTTGTTATAGGACACTGTGCTGCCAAATTTCTAAAACCAAATTTAGTTAAAACAAATTAAATGACATGTCTAGAAAAAGAAGTTTTTGGAAGTTCGTAAGTGATTTTCAGTTTATGATCTTGATATATTATATAATTTGTGAGTTGTGGAAAAGAACTGTTGAAGAGGTTAGGACCAAATATTTCAGCAGTGTGTAAGGACTTTTTACCATAATTAATTTACCATAATTTACTGTAATTAAAAATTAGACGGGTGTTAGAACTAGAAAAGGAGGAGGCGAAGGCAGGTTATGTTGGAGAACGCGTCTTAGGCTCGGGGCCACCTCACGGCCCCTTATCTGCAGGGACCGTAAGGGGGACGGTCTAATTTTGTGGAATTGTGCTGAAGCGGAGCCTGTCTTGTAGCATCTTTGGTAAATTAGAGGTAACTTGCAACTATGGAGGGGCTCACAGTAATATGACTTGCTAAACACTCTTCATATACATAAACATATATATATGTGTATATATATTCTTTCAGAATGCTTAATTAATAATAATTGTGAATGATTATTCCATCTGAGAGTGGAAAAGTATGTTTTTGGTAAGTGGTATAGAAGTAAGGTTTATAGCTTTTGCCTTCTTGCATTCTTAGTCATGGCTCTTGCACTGAATAATGGTAAATGTTTTCGTTAGAGTTTTAGTGAGCAGAAAATCGCCTAACGTGCTCCAACAGCCTTGTGAAATGACACAAGGCCTTTTTTAGAGCTCCTAGGCCTGTATGTGGCTGGCTGGTCTGATATGGTCACTAGTGCTCTGAGCATCTCACAAGCAGCAGGACTGGACATTTGTTAGGGTTCGAAGTGCTGGAAGAGATGCCGGTGAGTCAGCTCATGACCCCGTTGCTCAGCTGGGAGAAATTACTCTTCTTTCTGTTGTCAATTCTCTTGTCTGTGGGAAAATAAGCATTTGTTTGTAACGCTACAACATGACAGCGTCGTCGTAAACAGTTCTGTTTTGCGCTTGTTGTTATGCCGAAGTGCTGCAGCGCAGAGCTCTGTGCGCGCAGCTCCCGCGGCCGCCGCGCGCCGCAAGGCAAGCGCTGCGCAGGGAAGCGGGCACTGGAGTGCGTGTCCTGGGCTTTTCCTGGTTTGTGGCTTTGCTGAGATAGGCTTTTCCTGTAAGAAGCTGGATTTTATCTCAAATCTTCTGAATTTCTCACAGGCTCAGATTCCCACAGTCCAGACAGCCGGGGGCAGGGGGAAGTGTTTATCACAGTGCGGAGTAAGGGCTTCCTGTGCAAAGATTCTCAGAGCAAGGAAGCTGTTCGGCAAGAGAAGATTAATCCTTTTGTGATTTCCTTAAAAAATACCTGAATGGCTTATGCCACATGAAGTGCTATCCACTAGGTTGTGGTGAAGACATTATGATGGCCAAATCTGAATGCGCTTATAAATATGTTATGGGTGCATTTTAAAACATGTTTTGAAAATGGAACTCTTACCTAGTTTCTCTGAGTCTTCCTAAGTATTTTTTCTTCTCTTGTGATTCACAAAGGCCTCTATTTTGTAATATTTTCAGTGTGGGGGAACAAAATGCAATATGACTCAGTGTTTAGCAATGCCTTTCTTGAAATTTCTTGTAAACAAGGAACTTGAGAAGTAAGTTTTCCAGATAAAAGCTCATCTGAAAATTTCTAGGATTTTCACCCAGAGCTGAAATGATTCCTAGATTTTGAGACCTATGATAAGACACCCAACAAATGAGGGAGCACACTACACATCAAAGACTTGGGCTATTGAGGATCCAAGCCAAGAATACTTGTTTGATGTTGTCACTAATTCCACAGGAAAACAATGCTGAAAAACCACTGGGCCATTGTCCTTAGTTCAGTTGCATCTTCCTGCTTTGACTACCTTGCACGACGGCGTTCCCAGCAAATTCCATGTGTTTTGTGTCATTTGGCTTTCTGCACGAACCCCCTTTGGTTTGTCATAAATTCCTAAAGCAGAACAAGGTCACATCTGGTAGCAATTTCAGTGTGCCAGATGAGGACTAAGCCTATAAAAGCTAACTCATCATTTTCTCCAGTGCTTTTGAAAGATGATTCCCAAGCCTCTTTCGGAAGATGTACAACTTGCTCTAAAAAATTATTTAACCTGACAGTCTTTTCACACTTTATAAACTGTAATTTTTGGAACATGGTTTAATAACAAGTAGATAAGACGGTACAACCTAGTAACAGTGTGAAGCCTTTCTTTCAAGCTAATAAGCTGTGTCTGGATTGTATTTTCTTTGGCAGGAAAGTCTCCCTGCGGGACGCAGTAATTAAGTGTTCCTTCTGCGCGTTCTGATGCAGATGGAGCTCCTCTTGGTCTCCAAGTAACCTTTCATCTTACACGCTGCGTAACTTGCACGGGCTCCGCACAGAGGACTCTCCTGCTTTTCCTTTACATGCTTTTCTAAAAAGGTTACAACGATGCAGTAACAAAACTAGCATAGTGGAATGACTGTTCATTGTGAAAAGAGCAACCAAGGCCGTTCACAATTACTGCAGCGTGCTCTAATTTTCAGTAGACAAAAATTTAGTTGTAGTCAATGCTTTGAGATTTTTAATAGTTTTCCAATGTCCAGCTATGCTTTTCTACTAGTGGCTATTCTGATAACTTGTCGCCTTTATGTTCTCAAAGTATTGTACATGTCTTGGTGATCCCGTTTCTCCAAAGACATGTCAATATGCGTACTAGTAAGAGTGCCCAAACCACAAGTATTTTACTTTGAAGCGGTGGTATCTGCTTCCCAAAGACCAAGTGGTTGTGGCACAACACTGTTGGGCATAACCCAGTAGCCTCGGTCTGCTTTGTCTTATACTGCCCTTCCTCGAGTTACTTGGTGGGTTTTGTTAGTTTCAGAATACACTTTATTAAAAATGTAAGCTAAAAGCAGTCGCATTTAAAATGCACTGTACCTGCAAAGAAGTACCTCAAAGTCACTTTGCTTCTTCCCGTTTTTGTGACCAAATTTTATCTTTTCTAATCTATTCACAGGACAAATACCCTGACATTGTACAACTCCCTGAAGGACTGTTGGGAGATTATATAGTTCTAAGGAACCCTAAACCTTCTGGGTAAGTCTGTAAGTAGATGGTATTTTGTTTGTTTTCAAGAAAAAGGAGCAAAGCCAAAAATTCTACTTACAGCACTGGGGAATCATAAAATTGTTTATATAGTCGCCAACTAGACCAGTCATCTATAGATTAAGTCATTGCTTTATAACATCTCTAAGCACAGAGATTAGATGATGTGTGTTAGTTTTATGCCTAATAACCATATACAAGAACTCTGGAAGGAGGATTCCTTCCTTGCGGCCTTGTAAAAGAAGTCAACCCTACTGCTACTGTGTATGCCCACTGTTTTTAACAATTAGATGGAGAGAAAAAAAAAATAATGAGGCTCTACCAGGCTTTATTTTCAGTTGCATTTTAAGAGCAATTACACTGCTGTCTTGTTGCATAGCCAAGAGCTTTGGGCAAAACAGATGCTGAAGCGAACTACCCTCTTAATGCGACACTGAGCCTCCCCAAACACCCTGTGAGGAGCCGGGGTCCAGCAGCAGCTTCACCCTCTGATCCTGCTCTCAGCCCCCGAAGCAGCCTGTCCCCTGGAGCTGCTGCACGCTCCTGCGGTACCAGGGACAACGATCACGCAGCACGAAAGCAAAGCACACGGTTTACGGGACAGAAAATCATGGCTGCCATGTTACTAATAGCAATTGTATGTTGATTTCCTTATAAAACAATAGAAAAATGTGTTAGATGGAGGGGGTGATCAATTCTCTGGCCTTCATTAGTATTCTACCACAATTGCTAGATGTCTTTGGTGCCTGTGTTAGCTGTGTTCTGCTGAGTTTTGGTTAATAGAGTTAAAAAATAATAAAGCTCTGTAATTGTCATATTCAGGAATTGTATATGAGCACAGAAGTAACTCTTGTGATGCAGGACTGAGACCTTTCCCTATTACTTCTCTAAAATATGCATTGATTCCTATGGCAATAACTGGATATGAGACATAGCTCTTTACCTTCATTAGCATTACGTTTATGGAATAGGCAAATAAATCAACAGATAGTGCTGTTCCTGTTTAGGAAAATCTGCCATTTAAAACTAAATGCTGTAATACTGAGCGGTTGAAGTAACTGCTGTTAGAAAATGTTAGAAAATGAGCAGTTCCTTTTACTATAAGCAGTTTTATTTTGAAATTCCTCTTCATAGTAACAGGTGTCAAGTGCAGCTCCACCTTCCCTCTCCCCCAGGATCAGGGACTACATTAAAGTTAAAACCACTTCAGTGGCTTGGGAGAAAGCAGAGCTGAGTGCTCATCTCCATTCACAACTCCCAGCGCAAGAAGCTGGGCACAAATTCCCTAGGACTTGTAACAGTGAAGTGGTGAAAGGCCAACAGATTGTGTTTAACGAGGTTTTTACTGCCATTTAAATTAATGATTGTACATTGAGGAAAAGGAACCTGGTCCTTGTTACCACTTACTACTGTGCCTATCAGCCTTTGCCTAGGAAAATCTAACTCTCAAGGAACAGCTACTCTTAAAAGCGGTAATGGAAAAAGCAGAAAAATCAATAATATAGAAGAGACCCAAAAAGGAACAAGTGTGTTGTGCAAAAGCTTGGAATACTAAGCAAATATTGCAGCTTTGCAACACGATGACAGAAACGCTTCTCGGGGAATAATGCTAACTAAAGGTTTTTTGTTTTCTTATTTTTTAATGAAGAACAAACAAACACAGCGCTCTAGGCCGTGCTCATTTTTATTCTAAAAAGCCCGAACTGGGAACAATCCTGTATCAGGGAAGAACTTTCTCCGAAGAGATTCTGCTGTTTTTACACTCTATCTAACACAATACCCGATCACAGGGTGCAGATAGTAGCGGTACAGGGATCCAATCTGTCATTTTCTTTCATATCTTTTCTCTCTACCCTTATGTAATAGAAATATAGCATTTGTGAAGAATTAGGGGGGAAAACTGCGGATGAAAATCTGAACATCTTAGGGAAGTAATAAAGGGGTTTCCTTGTCAACCAAGTACCAGGGTTCTTTGGTTCAAAATCTAAGTATTACCAATCCCCAAGTTGCATTCTTTAAGGTATGATTTGTTCAGGAATGTAAGGGGTGTAAACTGTTAACTAACACTTCTCTGGATATGATGCAGGTTTGAATTAATGGTTGTTTGGAAGATGGATGTAGATGAAGATGGGAGAACGACACCTGTTCTGGACCTTCTGACTAAAGTACCAGAGCAAGGTAAGGTCACTTCAGAGCCCAGTTCTGAGCTTGCCAACTTGTCCTTTCTCCTTTTTGCCCAGCATCTCTTTAGGTAAATGAAAGTGCACTGTGTAGAGCACATCAGGTAAACGAAAGCAAACTTAGCATATTTAATGTATATTTAACTTATATGGGATTACAGGAAAAACACATGTATTTCTGCTTTAGGCACCAGGTGACCTGTTTTATCCAAAAATGGGAGGCAGGCAGATGCTGTCAATTATAGTGTGACTCTTTGAAAATAATATTCATTTTTCATTTTTCCTGTAGTCCTGGAGCAGACAAGAGCAACTATTGAAAATGCACCTACCTGCTTCCGAAGCATGCTGCTTTTGTTTGGAATTGAGACAGCTATTGAAAATCTTATCAAGGTGGTTGGCTTGAAAAAGTGAACAACAGCATTACTTATAACAGGTAGCAATTTCAAAAGTAGTTTTAATTAAGATATTGTGTTACACAGTCTATAATTTTATTGAATATAAACATTAAGTTATTCTCCATTTAGAAACCATACTCATAAAACATGCTATCTGTACAATTATGGCACGTTATATATAAATTGTCATGACATGAAAATAAATACAGCCATTTAAATACAAAAATGCCAAATAAAATAGTTACATGTACAGAGTGATTTCATTATAAATTTATCTTTTTGAATCAATAATGTACCAGAGTGGTTTGTCGTCTTAACATTTTCTAGCTACCTGGAAAGTGTTAAAAGATCACATGCACTGTCAAGATCAAGTCCATAAAAAGTGGAAGTTTCATTTCACAGCTCTGTAAAAGTACAGTGATTTTAAAATGACTAGAGAACAGTAAGAGACTCCTAGAATAAAAAGTAATGTTCTTATTAAATTAGGTGGAATAGACAAATAATTTGAAGCTTTTAAAGAAATGTTATGCTAAAAAGCAACTGTATGAGATAAGCTTTTTCCATAATTTCAGAGTTGAACAAGAGACAGCATTAATTGGAATGGAAACTTTAAACAAGAAAGACCACTGTACTTTTGCAAAAAGAAATGGGAGAATTAACTACTGCTCACAGAAGTACATTTTGATTTTCTAGTTTTTGTGGAAAAAACAATTAGCAGATAACACAGTAGGAAGGCATTGCATTTCATATGTTGTTTGTCCCCAAAAAAACAAACCAGAGAGGTGTCCTGTAATCCTCCTTCCCTTCCACCAGCTGTACCAATAACTCCCTGATAAACTGCTCTGCGTTACCTATCATAGCCAAAGGACACAGGCCAAAACAGGCCATGCACCACTTATATGCAGAGCAACAGCTGTTATTCCTGCAATCACGAGGCTACAGGTGACGGCCACAGAAACTCTTCAGTAATACTGGAGTACTGGGAGAGTGCCTTTTTAGGCCCACAGATGCTATAACCATGCAAACAGTACCAAATGTCTGCTCTGTAGTTTAGTTATCTTTTTTAAATGCATGACAAAATATTGTAGAGCAATGGTGAAATAGGTAGGTAAGAATTGAAATAGCAATTGCAAAGCAATCATATGTTTTCAATACTGTAATTTTAATATTCCACTATTTGATCACTGAAATAAAGTCTCCTACTGTTCTGGTAAGTCAAGAAAAACTGAAGGAACATATTGGATTGTGTCAGAATCTACAGTTGAACGACGCTAGAATCAAGTTTTGATGAACAGTAACTCTTATGTTACAAATTTGTCTTTTTAGATATAAGGCAGACTGTTTTCAAGTTTGGATTCCAGTAGATAAGCAAAATTCATTGCTACTTTATCCACTGATGTGTTACTGGTTTGTGTTTGCTAGCTTTGTGCAACCTTTTGTTAGTTTCATATCCTTCCTGGATGAATATGAAACTGTTTACTCACCACATACACTTGTATTTGCACATGAAATGTGTGTAAAGTTACAGCGTAAAGAACTGAAAACTTTATTTTTCAGCTGTGGATAATCTTTTCTCATTTTGTCTAACCCATGGAAGATTCCTGTTTTAATTTTTTTTTCTCCCCCATCTTTTATTTAGATGTAAGGAGTTGTTATCACTGTAAAATACCAGCTTATCACACTGTTGTAGTATCACATTTAACCGAGGAGAAGGCCCCATCCCTACACCAGCCAGGCACCCTGTCACTGCAGCGGACTCTGCAGGGCTGCTGGGGTGGTTCACTTTCCCCCATAAAACAGTATTGCTCAAAGTGGTATCACTCCATATTTCTACCTTGATTTGTGCCAGTCTAGAGGGCTGCAGTCTTCTCTCTTTTAATTTCAGATAAAATGGAACAAAGATTAAGATCCTAATATATATTTTTTTAAATGATAACTTACATCATTTTGATAAACATTGCCAGTACACACACACTGGATACAGATAACAGCATCTCTTTGCACAGTTCAGGGCAAGTAAACCTCAAGCACGCACGAAGAGTCCCTGGAGATGTTTTATCACACTACCCCCGTTTTTGAATGCCTCCTAACTCAGGGTCTGTCTTGAAGATGGCTAACTGCAATATCCCAAAATTTCACTTGCAAATAGGAATATTTACTGTTCAAAGTAAAGCCATCTTTAAATTGCTGCAGTACTGATACAAACTCAGCTCCAGTACTCACCATCAAAAAGGGACTCCCTGCAACTTCAAAAAAAGAAAACCACATCCTGTCACCTTTCCTCTGTGTATCACTTAAAAGAATGAGCCTGAAAGCAGTTGGTCGTGATACGTAACATATAGGATGTCAGAGAAATAATACCAACATTCGACACAGTCTGAAAGACCAAAATAATCTAGACAACTCAGAATACATAATTCCTAGGGCTCAAATCAACTCAAGAAAGCAAGCTGTGGTTTCACCTCCGAATAGCAGCATATCATGTAGAGAAAATAAAAAGACCAATTTGTCAGACTGGTTAAGCTCAGCTATATTCAATTCAAAGATGCTTACCTTTAACCCTTTCACTTCGGTTCAGAAGCTTTAGGAGATACAAAGTGATCACAAAGCTTCTGGAGGCAGTCTGGAGTTCTTAACCTCATGCATTAGTATTTAAAGTGTTCTGAGATAACATGGTAGTTCCATAGATCAGTAACACTTTAATAGCCACTTCAGCTCTATCTATCTTCAGTGGACTTAATGCTTAAATTTTATATTAGGCTTTTGTCAACACATTTTTCTTCCTAGTAGCTATGTGTGAGATTCAAAAAGCACAAGCTCCGAGGCAGTTCTCTTTTTAGTAATTAGGTTTTCTATACTAGTGCAATACTTCAGAAAACCTCTAATTCTGTGTTATTTCAATTCTAAGGAAGTGGACTTAGAATTAAGGTGATCTGTCCTTTAGTTCCAAGGTATGGCACATTCTCTCTTCTGCCATATTGAATACATTCATTAAGGTTATATAGCAAATGCATGTTTAGTGCTATTCCATGTCTTTGAAAAGGCATACCAATTATAAATCATTTCTTAAAGCAAAAACATTCACAGCTGAAAAATGCACTGAACACAATAGAAAAAAATCACCATAATTATTTCATTAATTTTTCACTTTCTAATGTGTTCAAATAAAAATAACCTTAAGGAAACAGTTACACTTTATGGAGAACTAATGTGCAGTCTTCATTCTCCTTGAAGAGACTGGACATAACGGGGTCATCTTTGGCCTGTACGTTCTTCAAATAGTAGTTTACTATCTTGCCATCAAGTTTGTACTGATGAGGAATGCTTTCATACGGTTTAAGATCGAGGTCCAGAACAGAAACAGAAAAGGTGAATCTTGATTTGGATGTTAGTACCACAGGTCTTTGCTCAGAGCTGCAAAACAAGAACATATTGCGCACGTGATTCATTACAGTAAACTTATTTTTCATTTGAGGGTCCCAAGTCCTCCTGCAAAAATGACTAATGTTTCTTTTATATCTGTTCCCAAGAGCCTGAGAAAAACGTCAGCTAATGTAGTGTATAAAAAACTACGGCTCCAGCTTTAGCCAGTCTGAAAGTGAATTTATTGCACTTCTGCCCGTCACTTCCCTTTCAGTTTCATACAGATTAAGTCAAAGATTTATGCTGTTAATGCATCTTTGCATTTAGTTAATGCGACTGCCAAGCTACCTGGCAGAATCAATAAGAATTATTCTAACTTTTACATTGGCTTAAGGTAGTACAATTTAGTATCAGAACTACTGTCCAAGTATTCTGAAGGATTCTAGAGAACTTAGACTTTGACACTTTTTGCCAAATTTAAGTGTTCGGAAACTCTCCTATGTACCTTGTACCAGAATACTACCTTATCAATATGCTTGTAACAAACATTTGGAACCTGAAAAATCACCTTTCTTAACAGTTACATAAATTAACTGCAGAAGCACATCTGATTTCTAAATAAACAGGAGTAATTCAAAATTAAATCTCTCTTACCATTCATCTCGTAGACAAGGTGAAAGGGCAATCATTATGGAGCAGTCTTTTGCAGTCATTGCTATTCTGTACTGCTGCACCTATACAAAATAAGAGGGACAAGAATTTTTCATTATATTTGTATTTGCCTTTATAGAAAATATACAGTTCTTTTTCAAAGGTGTTAGTATAGTCATTGTAAGATCTGGACATTAACTCTATAGCAGACAGGTAGCAGGAGCAAGTGGTTTTACCACACCCTGTGCAAGAATCATGTTCACCTCATTCTTATTAATATTCTACAGATATTTTGCCTAATGGCCAAAAAAGCACCATTCATGTGAATGCCTCATAGTCTAGAAAAGAAACAGCCTCTTTATTTAACTTTTAAGAACATGGGCTGAATATGTGTGGTTCTAAGTGCTTCTGCTATAAAGGTGCACACTGGCACCCTGACAAAATGCAGAACTTCAGCTGTACAGAGCACTTTCACAAGCTGGTGCTAATATTCACACACAGCCCCTCAATTTGGGTCAGATGGGCGGTTATTAAAAGTGACAGACTAAACAAGCTTCAACATTATGCCCAAAAAAAGGTACCTTTGTTAGCGCAAATGCTACTGTTCCATCATCTTCAGTTGAAAGATCTAGCAGCTTCTCATAAAATGCTTCATTATAAGGTCCCTCTATCTGCAACATACTTCTAAATAAATTTTAAAAGAAGATTAACACTTAAAAAATAAAAAATTAATCCCTGCCTACCTGTTCATAAGCAAAGAACTGGACAGCAAATTTTAATGGGGAAAAGAATGCATTTTTAGCAAAAGTGGGAAAGACTCAAAATCTGTAATTTCTCATTATAGGCCAGCACCCAGCACACAAACATGACGTGCATGAACAACAACACTGGCAAATAAATTGTTGTTTCGTGTAAAATACAAAAGCACAGAGTTCCGCTGCACATGCTGCCTCCTGCAGACAACCCTTCAGCTGAGGCCGCCCGTGCCCACGGGCCCTGTCCTACACGCAAGGCCAGCGTGCCCTCTTGTGCGCCACGGCAGAACTACAGGCAAATGCCAGCTGGAGAACCTAACCATCAAAATTAAGGCTTTTTGCAGTGATTGTTATTATTATTCCAACTAATACACTTAATCTGAGAACAACTGTGCACCTTGCAATACTTGGTATTTTTTTTATCAGGTAAGAAAGAGAGAGTAATCCTGCTCCCCTAGTTTGATGGGCTCGTTTATGAGGTGGATTGCAAGCTGGAATTTTAAGCTTACATTAAGAAACACTCTGAAATGAACAACCTAACACTATCATCTCCTCTACAAAACTACGTTAGCGTCAAGTTTACCCACATTTGATTAATTATTTTTTCCCCTTTACATGCCAAATTGTGACCAAATACTCATCTCCTCACCTCAACATTGTTCGAGAAACAGAAGAGGTAACGAAGAAGCTCAAAGGGAATCATGTCTGCATACCTACTTAATCAGAACATTTAAAAAACAGCCATCAAATCTTACCTCTCTTCAGGAAATTCCTCTAAGTACTGTTCAACTCTGTTGTACAAAGGATAGAGTCCTTCAATATCCAGCATGTCAAGCATCTGAGCCTGAAGGGTTTTATAAAGGAGACAACCCCTCGGTAAACCAGAGCTTTCCAATTTATTCTACAAGAAAAAAATATGCTCAAAATACAGCAGGCATAAACGTGTTTGCTTTGCTTCACTTTGCCATTACACATCCTTTTTCACAAAGCAAATGCAATACTCTTCAGATTGGTCAAAGGAAAAAGACTTCAGATTTTGAACAACAATAAAGTGCTGTGTGCTTACCTGCATATTTAAATATTTAAAAATGACTTACCTGGCTGTAGAGCACATACTATACTCTAAAGAAAAAAAAAATCTCTATTGCACTTTACTGTGAGTCTAAAAGATAAGTTTCTCAGATGAATCTGAAACCATCACAAATTTAAGCTTCAATGGTATGAACTGTTGACAAGACTAATTTAATATTTCAGATATTGGATCTTTTTAATATAGAACAAACAAATCTATTTTTGTCTTTGCCATCTTTTTTTCAGATAGCTCTTTCTCCCAGAGTACAGCAAAAATCAATATCAGCAACAAAAAGACTCTCCTCAAAAGCAAATTTAAAAAACATGCTATTTGTATAATGGGAGTTACAGGCAGCACCATGAAAAATTAAAGCTTTGCAAAACTTAAGCACTGAGGACTTAACATGATCTTCAGTTTTCCAGTCATGATTTTCCATTTCCCATTCCATAGTTGTACCTTCACATTAGAAAAAGAACAGAAAGACAACGATACCATAGTTGGGGAGCAGGGGGAGGCAAAAATAAGTGTCATGTAACCACTGAAAGCAGACAGACCTCAACACACACAAAATTAAATTACCCAGTCATTTAAAATACAAATTATGATTATCAGCTCAAACAAGTGTCGTCTTTAATTCTTACCCTACTACCTCTGAACTGACTTTTATCCCCATCATGAGACACAGCGCTAAAAGTTATGAGATCACATTAGAAACAGTTATCTAGCAGCTTTGCAACTCATATTTCATTTTCTCATCATTCAGTTCTCACACCAGTATTAAACAGCAAACAAGAGGCAAAAATATGAATCACTATATGATAACAGTTAATTACTATCAGAGCTCAATAAATTAGTTCTTACCATTTCTTACTAGCTCCTTATTAAAAGCACTTGCTTCACAGTAGCTTCTTCCCTGCGAAATGGGAACTGTCCTCATATCACCTGCCCTGCAGGCTTCAGTACTACTTAGTAGCGCCATAGTTATAACATGGATCAGTTCTTTAACAATTGTCCTTGTGCAGTGCGGGCCACTGACCAACCCATTTGAAGGAAAAAAGAAAGGTTTTAGGTGACGAGCAAGCTCGTTCCAGTCGGAAACAGAGTCCTGATCATCTTTACAGCCATAAATTAGTTCACCGTTCTGTAAAGGGAAAAGAAAGAATCAAACACTCCATCAAATCCAGTTATTCATATTTAGCTAACCAAGGTAGCAGATTTAGTATTTTAAGACACATGGTCCAAAAGAGTGTATAAAAGTCTGCACACAAATGCATGCACAATCTCTTACAAAGTTGTCATCCTAAACTTCACAAGATACCACAGGTAAAAACTTCTGAATTGGGACCAAAAAGCCCATTTAAGTCAAAAGACACTTTCCCCACTTAATCAACTGTAAATGATCAGAACAGGAAAAGTGAACTGATACTCAGCATGGTTTCCTATCGCTTCTGTCTATAGTGAAAAAGCTTGTCATGTAAAACTACCCCTTTAAAAGCTAAATTGTAAAATGGAAAGAGAAAAAAGGGACACAAAAGGCATGAAAATTACCTGCTTTCTAATAGAGAAAAACATTTCATACAAGTATAATTAACTCCAGTAGTTACTTTAATACTGGAAATGAATTCAAAAGAGTTATTTTCTACAACTAATCTGACAAATCTGCATAATCCAACAATTACTGCTTTATTTTTTACTACATTACTTCTGTACATAAAAAGGTAACCCTTTCACTTTGTCAGTGAAGCATGCTGTGCATCTGAGCTATACAAATGTTGTAACAGTAATTTCCAAAAATATTTGCAGCAACACATGAAGTTCTTTTTGTTCCCCTGAATGGGCACTTTAAAAGTTTTTAAACTTTAATCCTCTCAAAGTCTTGTGTTGGCTGCCCCGGCTATTCATTCAGATTGATTAGTTCCAGGAGAGATTGCTAGGGATAGCTACAGAGTATTCTTTACCTATCATAACTTGAAATCTAAGAATTTGCCTGTTTTCTTCTACTTCGTGATACAGTCCTGTAGTGAAGGTGCTGATTATGTCAGCACAAGTAGGATCTTGACCCTTCAGGTATTAAAGTCAAATTGTTTATAAGCCAATACATAAAAGTAAGCACACAGTTTTGTTTACCTTAAATATTTTCAAGTTGTTCTGTGCCTCCTGTAATAAGCTCTTCAAAGCAAAGTGCATTCTCTGTTTATTTCTAGGGAAAAAGCAAATATTGATCCATGTTATCAGAGCCTGTAGATGCTCACAGCCATGCCTGCGCTTTCTGTGAAATCAGAACGGATGCCTTGACGCGAGCACATCCCCTAAGCCTGTTACTCATGCTGAAGCCAACGTGAGTGACTCCTGCACAGACTCTTGCAAATTCAAACCTGAGTAGGAACAAACCCTTCCTACATTTCATGTTAGCACAACAAGGCACAGTAGCCATAATATGCAACTCTGATTCCTGAAATAGATGTAAATAAATATACAGCACCAGAAATATTTCCTTCGATAGTCAGACAAGCTCTTTAATCCTACAGCTGAAGTCTAAATAGTTTAAGAAATAAAATGATAACACAGTTTGTTTTTGGCAACACACAGGATCAAGTAACACATTTTCTTACCCTGAGAAGAGATCTAATGGACAATATTTACTTGGTCGCTTCCATTTTCCATTTGCTACCTGTTGAAAAACAGCAGCACTATTAATCACTTTATGGAATAACTGCTCTCAATTATTCTAACAGACAGGTGGACTAATATTTTTCTTCATGAGTCCCATAACATTTCAAGCTCGTCGAACCTACGATTCCTGACTACTAATACTAAGGGTCATCCTATTCATATTTAAATTCAGATCACTCAGGCTGCACGAAATTCAACAACAGAAAGCATGGAGGAAGTCACATTAAGTTACAAAAAGGTACAGTCAGCTTCTACTTCTAGACCTACTATCATTCCAGGAACATAAATAACATTACATACTCTGGTAAGTTGTGCAACGCTGCAATTTGGCAATTGGAATTCTCCAAATTGGTGAGTTGTACTTAAAAGGAAATATGGCACAGGTGTTTACCCAGCCAACAGCTTTAACACTCCTCAAAGACCAATACTGCATTTGTTTGCTTTCAACTTCCCACAGAGCTCCTTCCGTTTCTCACTACACACCCAGCAACTCAGGTGTGTAACCACTCACTCTCTTTGCTCATATCAGAGGTTTAAGCAACAATATGCAAGTTTCAACAGGAAAACAAGACTATAATAACAAGTAAAACCCAATACAGTCAAAGGAAAGCAAGCTGACAGCAAAAAAATTACCTTTAAATGCTGATGCATACAATAACGACACACCTTGTGCTTTATCTCCTGTGAAACATGGCTGGAAAAAGGAATGAAGCCACACTTTGGCTACGAAAAAAGAGAAAAATGTAAATATAAATGTATTTCTTTGCATGTAAGGGCACACAATATGCAAACCTTTCCAGCTAAATATTTTTTAAAAAGAAAATCACTCAGCAGCCAATGCTCAAAAAACTTCATATTATATCTCACATGTTTTTAGTTATTTTAGAACCCTCACCTTAAAAAAAAAAAAAACCACAGCACTGCTGTTGCCTGCAAGAAAGCCTAACAATACTTGGGAATTTCCCAAACTTTAAAGGTTAGGAACGTGGTGGGGGAAAGGGTGGATTTCATCCTACAGGTAACAGTGAAAGTGAGCTCTGCTTTATGCCATTACTAATTTTCATTTGAAACTGCTTCAGTCAGTTCATACTTTAAGCAGAAAAATCAGAAGGCCCTTTCCTATTTGATACCTTAATCTCTATGCAGAGGATTGGCCGATGTTCCACAAAACGATAGGTCTGCAGCCTGGTCAGATTAGGAAGGCACATTGCATAACCACTGAGAGCGTCCATGTCTTTATCACAGCGAGACTCTGGAGCAGGAGAGGGAAAAACAAGAGTGGAGAGTAGGCAGCACGGCCCCAAAGACGTCGGAAGGGCCAGGAAGCTAAAAGGCCGCACGCGAGAGCCTGGGCGCTGCAAGCCCTGGCAACGGGGCAGCGCGGGCTGCAGGGAGAGACCCAGCAGCCAAAATGCAGCCACCAGGTACGTGCCGTCACCAACATCCCCGCTCCTCAGACGAGGATCAGACCCACATTAACATGAGACTAACACTACTTTAGTTTGGAGTTTCTGAAACTCCCTTCCTTCCGAAGCTCTACGAACTCGTCAAGGACCAATTCTGCCAGAATCCAAACAGGCATAGTATTTTAAGACACATCTTTCACTTCCCTCACTGATGCTTTACAACAAGGTAAAAAAGCCTGATAAAGAACTAACAAATGAAGGCTTAGAGAGATTCCCTGTCCCCCATAGGTAAAAAAGCCTGATAAAGAACTAACTAACAAATGAAGGCTTAGAGAGGTTCCCTGTCCCCCACTTAGTGAAACTTATACCAGATACAACTTTTAAGTCTATAATATACCCATTTTTCTACAACAAAGCCATTTTCAAATTATTACTAGCTTCATAGTAAAAGAGGCTTCCTCAGATTTCAAAGTAAGATCCTTTTTCTTTCTAATTTAGCAGAATGTTTTACAGCTTGAGGAAAGCCACCTTTTGATGCTATGACAGAACTTACCTGGCCTCTCTGGCTGAATCTTTAAACACAGCTGTCTTATAAAGTCTAAAGGCAGTTGAACAATTTCCTTTAAAAAAAAAAAAAAAAGTTTAATATTTATAAAAGAACTTGCATCATTTTTTTCAAAAGTGAGAACAGTTTCTCCCATCACCCTGAGGCAGAATTTTATGAGTGAAGTTACAAAAGAAGTTGCTGCTTTTCCTCTCAAGCACCCGATGATCAGTTAACGAGGTGCAGCCCTCCTCAAGAACAGTGCGAGTGGCCAGGAAAAGGTTATCCTCCAAATGCCCAGAAATCTGTGCAAGTCAATGGGACCAGACTTCTACCCTTGTTTTCCAAAATCAGTCTCAAAACATCTCTGTCTTCCACCTCTTTTTCATACAAAGAAAAGAAATTGTCAACTTTTTCATCAGTAGCTGGAAATAGCTCAACAGAGCGCGCAGCCCGGCCACCTCGTCAGCACAGAGCAGGAGCTTTGTTCGGAGCTGAATGCTGCTTGTTTGTGCAGCTCGCTTAGGAAGAGCTGCAAACCCCACTAATTGCTTTTGCCTGGCATCCAGTGTTCCTAAAACACCATGTTTACAATGTTCAAAGCGCCACTGAAAGACAGAACATTTACCCCATGATGAACATATTTCTCCCCAAAGAACTGCTTCATGACATGTTTTCCAAAATCTACAATGTTTTGCAGATGATGTAGTATTTCTTCGGATGTCTGAAAGAAAAAAAAAAAAGTAGTAATTAGTTATGACATAATGATGCCCAACACTTGGGAGTGCATACACGTCTTTATCAATCATTTGGCAAAGTACCCTAATGGTGATACAGAGCTGGGTAAGAGCAGAGACGGCGACACCAAGGGTTTAAGTGGACGGGATGAGGCAAGATCTGGTCTGTCTCTGACCATCATTCTTAGGGCAGGTAAGAGAGCTATACTGAGCAACAGACTCACTGCAGGCCTTTTTACCAACGGCTTTTGAAAACTTTTATTACGAGGTGCTCTTCTGCTAGCTTTTTTGTGCATCATGTGCATATAAAGAAACACCCCAGTCGCTCTACCAGAAAACGATGCCTAGCGAGACTGGTACGAAGCTAAGTGAGAACTAGAGGCAGGAGAGCCACAATGCTGTGGGGTCCCCTGGCAGCTCCTGCTTATTAAGAGATACTGCAGTGCCCAGTAGGAGCAGCTTCACAGCAGCATCGTTCTATTGCCCGTGCTGCAGCACATGGTTCTCTGCACAGCTTTATTGCTACCGTAGTCCATTCCTTTCCTGGGTCCTTTTCTAGCACAGAGCTTTTCCAGGAAAACGCTACTTTGCCTATCGCTGGACAATGCAACACCAAAGCAAGGGAGGTTTGCTCCTCAGGTTAAGTAACAGCAGAGGAAGAGAAAGCCTAACACTGATGCCCAAGTCAGAAAATTAGAAAGGAAAAAGCAGAAGCAGGAGAGAAAATAAGAAAATAAATAGCACTGTGGAACAGAATGTGACCCAAAAAAACAAAAAGCCAGGAGAAAAACACTTGGATAATCACCAAAAGTGAAAACAGAAGAAAAGAACACAGCCAAAATATTAAATGTGTTATGAGGTAACAGGAGATGGTCACTAGCTAGGCAATTTTAGCAACAACGTGTTTGTTTATAATAGGTAGGTATTTACCACCCATTGGACTTGCACAAGTTGTGTAGGACTACAAACAGATTCTTTTGTTAAAGTAAACGTAAATACTGGGTAAATATTACAGCAAATCCTTTAGTTTACATACAGATTTCCTCCCTTTTTGTGGTGACACAGCCCTTTCCTTAGCGCACACAAATCCCAGGTGGTGGGCAGCAATATCATTACTTCATCTTGACGAGTAACAGAATTGTCCACTACTCGCAGACTGCTCTGGCCTCTCTTGCTGATGCACACACTACTTCTAGGCTTTTCCTGCACACTGAGAATTAAACAAGCACCTCCAAGAACTAGGACACTCACTTCCACAAGGAGAGCCTCAATTAAAAAGACCAGTAAAACTTTCCAGCTGCAGATCAAGCTTATGACAGTGGCTGACCTCCTTCTAAGAGCAAGGACCTTCATCACTCTGAACAACCAACAACATTAACAGATGGGAGCATCACCTCTTAACATTAAAAACATAAAAAGTTTTTGAAGGCCCCATCATACTACCAGTTCATTTATTAAAGCACCTAAGGGCTACAGTTTAAACACTTCCAGAGCTGCATTACATAATTGTGTTCCTCCACAATTACCATTTTGTGGTTACAGTGGTAAGAAGAACAGCATGTCTGTCTGGGGCAAGTCTGAATGGGAACATTACTAACATCTTCTTAAAACCAAACTTTGATGTTTAATCAGATAGAGCCTGTGTGATTACAGACCAGGAGGTACTGCTGCGCTTGCTGGGACTCTGAGGGTTTTTACCCATCTCATTAGACAGGGGAGAAAAAAGGAGTAACGAGTACTTCAAGAATGAGTAAGAATGAGTTCCTATGGAACCAGACCAGCATGCCTAGGACACTTCTTGGGTTTCACTATCCCAATAGTTTAATGCAGCTTGAACTCTGTATTACAGATAATAGTGAAAAAGTACTCCCTGTCTTCCTTTACAGCTTCTTCATATGATGCCCTGTTGCATAAGAATTATTATGCTACAAAACCCTTCCTGGCGTTCCATTGCCCGGTCGTTTCAAGAGCTTAAGTAAAATGGACTAATCTGAATTCTCACCCTGACACTCAACGAGTTCATTTTATTGCAGCACTAAGATGATGAAAATGCACTTTTTCTTACACCACCGATAAAACAATTTCGCATAAGCCACAATCTCTGTTGCAGATAAGGAGTGCAAATAGAAAACCCACTGTTTCTGATTCCAGAGTGAACATCGAGGTCTTCACATCCTACGGTCTCCAATGAAGCTGCGGCGCCGCAGTCTTCCTGTCGCAACTAACTTTCTTCAGTAACTGTTTTCATTACACATTAAGTCGGTGCCTCACTGACGTCCACTCGAAAAAGCATTCCTATTCTGCTCGCTATGGGTACCGCGGAAGGGGAGGAATTTAAGCTTGGAATTCATTCCCAGAAAAGGACGCAGCCAGTGCAGGACAGTCGGGCAGCGCCGGGGAGGCAGCACGAGGGCTCCTCTCCCCTTGCGAGGGCTCCGTGCCGGGACAACGGGGCGAGGGGCAGAGCCCGAGGCCCGGAAACCTGCCCGCAACGGGCACGGGAGCGGCTGCCTGGAGAACAGTGTGCGAGGAGCATCCTGAGAGGAACGAGACGGAGCGGCTATGCAGAACGGCACCGTGCTTGCCAGAGTCAAAACGCTCAGAGCTTACGCATTCAGAAACGTTTTAAAAGAGACAAGGAGACTCCGTTGAAGGAATGGGGGGGGAAGCAAGAAAAACTGCTTAAAGAAATTCATGCTTTTTAGCTTTTTTTTTTTTTTTTTTAGAATAATTACGCCTCTCATTCTGTGAGGCTGCAAACGGATCTACTACCCACTATTTTCCTTTGCCAAAGAAATTCCAGAGATTTGTGCATCTCCTTCTAACCTCAACCATTCTGTGATTCAGCAGCTTTGTACCAGTAAAGGTAGGAGTAACAGTAACAATACTTCATACACGCAACAATCAAATTAACTGCCCTCCTCTTGAAAAAAGAAATTCAAAACTGAATTAAATAACTATTACAACTAGCCTTTCCTACTAACATAAGGAGATTATATTCATATTTTCAGGATCAAAATGTTGGTCAAAAAAAAATACCAAAAGATTTTTCGTTGTTACGAAATTCCAGGGATCACCCCAAAAAGCTGCAAAGATCACTTTGGAAAAATGACTATGTTAGAGAAAGCAACATCCTCTAATATAATTAGAAACTAGACTATGTCAAAGGCATTATATACTTCAGCTAAACTGACAAGCTAATTTAAACTAGGGCATCTTGCCTATGACTTCTTGTAACTTTGAAAAAGTAAAACTTCTAGAAAAAGTTCTATGCTACCACCACCAGTTAACAAGCAGCTTCATATATCCGTGTAGAAAAGCCACACGTGTGTCTCCGTGCACTCGGAACACAGCATGTGGCTGCCAAGGCTGCCATCCCACTCCTCAGTTATCAAAACAACAACGACGTTCAGGTACTGCCATTCCCCAGCAGAATAGTTGTTATTTGATGGAGAAAAGGACCTTCAGACCAAAATATTAGAGGAAGATCTCATGTAACAATATAACAACAGTGTGTGACGTGGGGAGAATACAGGATTATTCTTTATTTAGAAGAGGAGGGGAAATAACTATTTAGAACAAAGCCTAAGCTTTACCTGCTTATTTATTATTCTGCAACTAGAATAAAGTTGAATTTAAAGGTATCTTTTCAAAGCAGAACAAGAAAAATGCTGTAGTTACGAAACATCACTATGTTATATCGAGAAAAGTCTTTTTAAAGTCCAATGAAGACAAATACTGTGTTGTACTAATTGAATATATTCAGAAGGGACAAAAACAGCTAAATGAATCACCTTCCTTCACAAAACCCTGACAGCAGATTGTCTTCTACATTTCAAAAACGCCAAAATTTGTGGAAGGAAAATGAAAAAAGCAGGAAACGTAAGTCACAATCACTGCAGCCATTATTGCTTTCACCTTTATTTAAATGTTAGCTGGATACTCACCAAGAAACATTTACTGGCAAAGAAAAGCATGATCATGCACTATGAGACACTTACATGAGAAACATGTCTCAGCATCAGTTACTGCCCGTTGTTACAATAAGCCCTACCAAAATAAGTGATAACTTAGTAATTGCTTTACCAGAAAAATATTTGATAGCTGTTAACTTATCAGCACATCACTACTCTGCTTAAAAAGCTCTCAAGCTTGGAAAGCATTCTGTGCAGATCAGTAATTAAAAACATCTTTCCTGGAAAACAGAGATAAGCTTATGTTAATTCACACAGTATTACAGCAACTGAATCCTCCTTGCATTTCAATTTTTAAACTAAATATATTTCTAGATGACAAAATAGCTGGTTGTGAACGATTAGCATTTCATTCACTACGATTTCCCTACTGAAGGAGTCTTTTAGAGATAACTAGCTCTACTATTTCCATGGAGGCATGGCCAAATTATGCCGGAATGTTCACAGCACTTGAAAAAGAGTATTTTAATGTGAGAACTTCTGGAATAAGAAAAGCCCAATATCCCAACAGAATGTTTCTTTTACCTGCGTGGAAAATGTTTAACCAACGCAATGTTGTAATTCTTGCAGATGATGTGTTTTTCTCTTTTACCATGCAACCATTACAGTTTTATCCAAAAGCCTACCAAAAATCTCCTAAGAGGAAATTAAACATTGTCCTTCAGGGAATTTGAGACATAAACACTTAGGAACCCCCACGATAACTATTTTCTTTATACTGCAAGCCATGTGTCTCCTCGAGTTTTGTCTTTCAGGATGAAATAACTCAATTCTTTCAACATTCCTTTCTGTTTCTTAAATCTCTTCATTATTTTCCTCTAGACTTTTTTCCATTTATCTCTCTCCTGCTCACCTTTGGTTAAGAGGATTAACCCAAACTTAACACAACATTTCATGCAAAACCACTTATTCTCACTAATACCTTACAACTCTACCAATTCATCCCCCAAATGGTATTTGCATCTCTTTTGCCTTTCACTTTGTCAGGTGTTCTGTGGTTCACCGTAACTCTCAAATCTTTTAAGCTGTTTACTGGCAGGCCACTCATTTCCTATTTTGCTTATGAGTATTTGTTTCCCCTCACACAATTAGCAGCTCACGGATCGCTCCACACTTCCCACCTGCTTCACAGAAAGGTGCTGAGCTGAGCTCAGACCCAGTCCGCGTGCCGGGCTCCCTGCCCTGGCTCTGCGGCCCAGTTACTAACAGCAACGCAATGAACGCGTTCCAGAGGACACACAGCTTTGGAGATTTCACACAAAGCCACCTCCGAATTTCACAGCCCATCTTGGTTGGCCTCTCAAGGCTTTTTAAAGCCAGATGCAGGTCTGCCTAGTGGAGATGACACTGATGCTGCGTTACCTACCTTGATTACATGAGCACCGTTTTGAACAATGCCAAAAGTCCTATTAAAGTTAAAATACATCATGCCTGCTACCTGCTCTTTTCTACAGTAAGCTAAGCGCCTTTCCAAAACGTATCACGACCTCAGTCTTGACTACCCTGGGTTGACTGGTGTCATTCCCTATATACTTACAGGTTATTTTAACTGTAGTTAGACCATGTGGTCTAATTCTCTTATGCTGTATTTGCAACTGAGACAGGTGCTGTTTTCCTGCCTTCCAATCCCCTTGCTCCTTCCCAGATCTCAAGAGAACTCTGAATGTTATTACCTTAGACTGCTGCGGAAGCACAACGTACATTTTCCAAATTCTGCCACAATAGCAGATCCAAAACTTCAACTTGAGCCACACTTGTTTTGCTTCATTTTTTTTTCTATCAAAGCAGTAGCAGAAAGACCACAAAACAACTCACAACTACACTGTATGTTTTTTACTTCCCTTTGCTTTCCTCTGATCTATTTTATAACCTTCTCCTTCTGCTTTTATTGCCCTTGCTAAGCACAGCTCATTTTCTATGAATCTTCCCGATTTATTGCAAAAATTCCATCCCATATGTTCCACTCCATATGTTTACTTTACAAGCATCTTGGTTTCTCTTTTCTAAAACCCCTCCTCCTCTCCAGCTCTCAATACAGCCATAGAGCTTTTTATATTTGCTCCTCAGCAGAACAGTACAGCACTGAACCCTTACAAAGCCTTGTTTTAGCAGCTGCCATAACTCAGAGCATTTCCTGTATCTCAGGTAGCAGGCCCTAAAGACGACTCCCTTGCTTAAGGGAACTGTAGAATATGAATGCTCCATCTTTGATTCTCCATCATTTTCCCCATTAAAACAATCGAAGATACCTACAACTTAACCAAGGTAACTAAGACACTAAAGTTTCACTTCCTTCTCAAGCAGGAAAATCTTCTGCCATGGCCCAATAAACTAAGACCTGCCATATTCTTTTTGTATCAGATGAGATACTAAACTATTCTCTGAATACTTCACATCTTTCTCCAATATTGCACAGCTTTCTAGCTACTGAATCGGTGGTTGGCAGGAGACTTTTATCACGACGTCAGCTCTGTGTTCCTCCTCCTCCGCCTTGCCTAGCAACGGGCAATAAAACTCTCATTTCTCCCTGAGCCTCTCTGCAGTCACTCACATCAATACACAGGATTAGTCTTTCCCCTTGCTGCAGTGATTCTTATAGAAAGTTGTATTTTCTACATACGCATTATACAGTTTGCCCCACAAACAGTCTTGAAGTCAGTAATTACATAATTTCAGCTGTAAACGATGACCTGAAATTTCCTCCTGTTGAAAAAACTCCTGAAACACAGGCACATTTTAAAACATCCTCTTATTCTTACTCCTTCTTCAGATTTCTCTTCAGAGCAGCTTCCAGGAGCTTACCTGTAATGTTTTACCACTAGCACACACAGTCTCTTACCTTATTCTGGTTTGGGGGGAACTTCAAAAAACGCAGCACCGCACAGCGCTAAAGGAGGATAGGAAAGAATATGATTTCATTAGCATTTAGGCACATGATCATAACTTGAAGAGTTAACTGCATCCAAACAGCAGAATGTCCAATTCCGCACTGTAGCTCATCCAAGAAATCAAGTTTGTCAGAAAAACTAAAGGAAAGCAAAATAAGTATTTTCAAACGTTGCTTCATTCAACTTGAAATCCAACAGATTAATTTCTGTTTCCAGATATGCCCTGACCTCCTCTTTTCCCTCTAACAAGTCAGTCCCTCTGTGCTTCCAGTCACCAGCTGTAGAAGGGGCAATACTGCCTTAGCTTACAGCAGTATTTGCGAAGTTTTCTGATATTTCAGTTTGGACTCTCACCCACACACAGCACAGCATTAAAACAAACAAGCAAACAATAAAAACCTTACTTCTGCTCCAGAGGTCTTTCGAAAAAGCTGTAAGATCCAATAAATACCATTTGCTTATAAAATCAGCAAAGCATTACAACTTAATAGTTACCCACCAAAACTGCACAGCTCTACTTATAAATACTGAAACCTGCTACTTGCAAACTCCGTTTGAAGGGAAGCACCTAAATGTTTGAGATTCATGTAACGCCCTGGGCTAAATGCAGTAGGTTTCCAAATGTTTCACCTTACAAAACACATGCGTGATTCACATAATTCAAAAACTTACATGGTAAGTTACATGGTAAGCTGATGCATATGGAAGAAAAAAGTGATCCTTTACTCAGCTTTTAAGAGTTCAAAGATATCTTCGAGCTGTATTAAGTAAATCAGGACTTTGTCCGTAAGCCTATTAAAAAAGGATACCTGGCCTCACAGAGCAGATCTAAAGCATCTCCCTGACCACAGAAGTTTGATTAAATTAACCATTTTACTTATTAAATAGTCACTTTTCATATTAAAAACAAATTTTGATGTAATAAGAGACTAAAGTCCCACTAACTCAGACAACAGGCAGCCCTGTCTAAAATTAATACAAGAAACTTTGTTCCACTTACATATTTAAACCTATTCAGATAAAATGTGGCAGTAACAGTCAGGTACTGGTGTAGGTTTAAAAAAAAAAAAAAGTAACAAATGTTTGGGTTATCTCTTAACAGTTCGTTTTCACATTGGTCCATTTGGACCTTTTCTAGACAATCCAAAAAGGATTGCTTTCTATTTAAAGCACTGTAACTGCTATTATATTTAACTAACCAGACTTGTTACAATATTTGCTCATTAACATCATTTTTAAGCAGACCTGCTAGGATAGAAGGATAAAAACTGTATATGATGAAAGAACAATGCGTTGCTTTCCTAAAGACTGGAAGCATATGCAAAATAGAGTAAAGCTCTAACAAAGCTTTTCAGTTACAGTTACCGATGCACTTTAGCTAGTCACTGCCAACTTCCTCCTGCAGCATGTCTTAGTAAGGCCATTAGAGTGATCTGATCCAGAATTAAAAACCACAAACTTATTTTTGTTGAGTTTTATACAAGTTTTATATAAACTAAATAAATGACAGTTTTAATGATCCTAAAATGAAATAGCTGGCAATTTTGCTGATATTGAGCTATTTTTGCACCTTAGCTTAGTTTAGTTTAGTTGTGTGCGGTTTACAGTAGCTAAAACTTATTTGGACATTTTAATCCCAAATTTACATTCCACAGCCTCTTCAGCTCTAAAACTCGTGTGAAGGATTTAAGCAGAACACGAAGCTGTCAGGTTCTTTCCCCCGCGCACTAACAGAGCTCAGGCAGAACATGCCCAGCACCCTGCCCGGGCACTTGGATCGAAGCTCATCTTCACGACGCGATGTCCAAGTTCAATACATGCCATTTTACAGGCATCCTCAGTCAGTGTGTCAGTGTGCTCGGCAATGGGGAGGGATCTGCAAGATGCAAACAACAAAAGCATGGAAAAATGTGCAGCTTTGGAATGAGACCTATATGGCAATATAGTATACGAGCATTTTTTTCCAGTTCAGTTTTGTATTGTGTAACGTGGGTAAGATCATTCCAAACTAAGGGAGGAAAGCTGTGCTTCCTGACAGCATGGACAGAGCTTAGTAACTACTCACACAGCGCGCGAGGAAGTATTCAAAATCAGAACACCACCCTCCTTTCGGCTTAGGAACTCCTGAAGTACAATCTTTGATTTCTTTATACAGATAAAGATTTTTGAGCCTAGCAGCTTACTTGACACCATTCAATATTTTAAACTATTATCTGGGAGCAAAGGACACCATGATACTTGTTTTCTTTTGCAAAGAGCTCACAGCTTGCGTTAGACTTAAGGTATTTGTTCCTTTTTCTTTAACCTGTTCAGTTATGATATATATTCCCATGACAGTCACACATTCACTCAGGTTTCACATTACAGCTAAGTTAATAAAACCTCACAATATGCTGATGGTGCCAATTTTAAGATTTTGTACTAGCCATGAATAAAAAGATAAGTCTACTGTTCAGCTAAGCCACACAATATTCCAAATGAGATCAAGTGATACCCCCACTGGTACGCGGTGGAAACACACACCAGAGAGCTAGAGCAGAATGAATAAACCTATTGATTCCAGGCCCTCAGCATAGAGCACTGCAGTGTGGATAACACAAATGTCCCTGAGACAGTAACTGTTAAAAACAAGGGAGAAAAAAAAATGGCCATTAAGGTTTAACAGGATATCAAGTTCCTTATCTGTTGAGTAGGTGAGTTAGACAAATAGCAATGTGAAACGTGTCCTGAGCTCCCTTCGCACCGCTGCAAGGCCGCACGCACCTAGAGCACACGCTGTCCAGCGGCGAGGGCTGCAGCCAGCTGCCTGGGCAGCCTCTGCTACGTCAGGCACACAGGAAAGGCTTCAGGGAAATATTAATAGTGAGGGACACAAATAAAATAGCAGCAAAGGCATTAGAATTAAGTTATAAAATGGAAAGTTAAAAACAAGTTAATAATTCCAAGCATCCTAAACACCTCAGCAACTGCTCAACTGAATACAGCATCCCTTCTCCTTCCTGAGCAAAACCAGAGAGAAGGTCAGAAAGAGATTGTCACAGACCTCAGAAATAACACACCGAGGTGAAGACTATATCCCACTAAAAGGCTGGAAGGGAGTGAAGAGCTGTGCGAGCAAATACAGTAAGCTATTACACTGGTATCTCCTACACAGCTCGCACAGGTCAGTTAAGCTATTTCCACTGAAAAGCAACCACTGTTAAACACATCCAGCCCACAACTGTTGTTGATCGAAGGAAGCTTAAGTGTACAGAAAAGAAGTGTTTAGTGTTATGAACTCCACCTTCACTACACTTACCACCCACTTACAAAACAAGAGAAAAAAAAGCTTTTTAAATAGAGGTTTGATTTCCTCACTTTCAACAAGAAACTTGTTCTGTTTCAAGGTTGACCTAGCACAGAACCTAAACACAAAATCAAGACCGTATTTAAGGAAGCCTAATTGCCTCCTGAGCTTTATATTTCTATTGCTATTACCTTCAGCATTCTCACAAGTCACCCAAAACAAAAATTAACACCAAATAAAAGATACAAACTGAAGATTGAATTCCAGAGACAAACATATTTTATACATATAAATAACAAATGTGTATATTTTATAAGTATCTAACTATATAGTGAAAGCTAATATGTAGCATTATAATATTATGTATATATTGTGTATACTATATGTACACACATTATAGTATTAGACCTGCACTTCCCAGTGTTTCTCTCTCCTTCCACACAGAAAGACTCTAGTGCTGTGTTTTCATATCTGCATCTACAGAAGCACCTGAGGAAAAAAAATCGTTAAAAAAATAATTAATTATTAGAAAAGTTTAAAGGGCATTGCTGACTTTATGCTCCTTCTCTCTTCATTCTGTCCCCTTACCTGATGCCACTTTCCCTGCTACTTAAAAAAAAAAAAAAAAAAAACAATAATTAAATTACATTCAGAGCATCCTTTCAGTGCAGAATCCTGGTAAAGGCAAGGAAAGTAAAATTAACTACAATACACGGGTGCTAAACAAAATCAAAATTCCATATGCACATTGACTCAAACAGCTGCTTTGAGTCAACTAATCCTTGCAGCTAATCCACTGAAGCAGAAGTGCTTCCAACTTCTAATATTTCCTTTGTAATAAAGGCCTTTTGTGGCTGTACTCAAGTAGAGTTAGCATGATTAGTTATGACATCTACAACCGCTGTTCTAACAGTTTAGCCAAAGAAATAGCTATTAGCAAATAAGAAAAGATCTTCCTGTTTGCTAGTAGTTGTGCATTTAAATGTCAGTTAACCAACATGCGAGGTTAACACAAGGAATTGTATAGCTTAACTCAGGTTAGCATGCCATAGGGGTCCTGAATCCCAACTTACGCTAGTTAATTACTTTGTGTTCCTAAAAACGTAATTGCTGTTTGCAGCAAGATCCTCATCTCTTCAACTCTTTTTCACTGATCACACACCCTGATCAGTGCTCAGTTTTTCAACGTGTTTTTATAGCTGCTTGCTTTGCTTAAGTTTACACAGAAGCTCCTCTACCCACAATAAAATAAAAAAGCAATATATTAATTTGTCACATATCTGTTTTCTAAGCAGATAAAGGAGTGCATTTGCTATTTTTTCCTAGACAATCTATATTTATACATGCATACCCTCAAAAGAACTATGTTCAAGAAACAAGGTCAAAGAAATGGCCTATGACCCAGAAAAGAAAAGAAAAAAAAAAAAGGTTTTAATGGTCATTAATCCTTATTAAAGTTGATGATGGAGTCTTGCTTCAACTCACTCACAGGCAAGTTTTGCTTTCCCCAGCAAATTCTGCAGATCAGGAGCAGAACTCCTGCCTACGCTCAGGCACACGGCCTCGGACAATCTTCTCCATACGTCCAGCCCACGGAATAAATGAAAAATAAAGATCACCAGAGGTTCAAATTTAAGGAACAGAATTTCCTCAAGGATACAAAAACTTTTAAGTTCAAAACTTAACAAAACAAAGCCTTTTGTACTAGTTGAAATACCATTCAACAAATGCAAGTTGTACCTTTTCTGGGCAATTTCTTAGCGTGCAAGGGCAAAGACATCCTGACCTGGCCATATTTCAATCAGTACAATATTCAGAGAAGGCCATCATTAATAAGCAACGCAAGGCAAAAACAGCAGAATATTTCCAATGCTCATATGTTCAAGAAAGAGCCTCTCCAAACAGCACAAGCTATTTCAGTATTTTTCCCCTATCCGAAGACTTAATGCCAGGAGTCCATTCCATGTTTCCTTGAAATCAAGGGATCCACAGTTATTAATTTAATGACCCACGGACACTAAGAAGAAACCCAAAACACAGCTGAACAAGATCTGTTCATATTCAGGGATCTGCAGTTTCCTGGGAATGACTTTGAAATTTCAGGAGTAATACTTTGCTTGCACTAATTCAAAGATGACAAAACATCAGCAAGCTCCATGTCATTGAGAAACCATGAAGGTCACAGAGGGAAGAACAAGACACTTGGGTTCTTAAACTTACGCAAAATGGGACCACCACAAAAAGCACCTCAAGAAGATCCCATCCGCAAGACAGCGGCCAGTGAGCAGCACTGCTCTCTTTTTGTCAGCAAAGCTGCAGCTGGCTGGTAATTCTAACCATAAGTTTTTGCTGTGAGGACAAAAATCCCCCACTTGTCTAAGCAAACAGTCTTGTCCGTGGCCCTGTCTGACACTATACTAACCTTCTCAATTTAAGTTCACTGTGCAAAATGTCAAATTTACCCAGTAAGATATTTTTAATCAAAAAAAAAAGGGGGAGGGAGAAGCTGTTTCATACTTTGAAAGCAGTGTTATAAACAATTATCAAGTCACAAGGCACCCCCTGCAGAATTCATAAGAAACATGAAACCAGGCTGATCTCCCCCATATTGAGCAGGTCTTTCTGCAAGCACTAGGCAGCTATCAAAATGCGACTGTCAGCAGGAGCAGCTGCAGATACTGCAGCTACAGCGAAACCAAAGCCCAACATTAAAAATGCAAGACACCCCTCTCCCTTCGCACACCTCAAAACTCTGCAGTGCTCAACAGTTCAGAACAAGGATTGGGAGAGACACCTGTGAAAGAAGCCCTGGCAGCACTGACAGACATCCCTCCACCTTTGCCATCTGTCCTGGCAGAAGAAAACACAGAGAGGAGCCACACATTACTCAGCTCTTACAAGCAACTACTTTGGGAAGTTGCACTTGCCTCCCTCCTCAGTTTCATTTACCTCCTCCATTCACCCTCTCCCCCTTTCCTATTTAGCAAGCTTACGTGCACTCTGGCAATGATTTACACACTTCTAACAATTTGTGTCCCACACCAAACACTAAAGATATCTGTCAGAGCTGCAACCTCTCCTAGGCAAAGAGCAATTAGTACTAAACAATAACCAAGATCCAACCCATGACGTTTCATGAACACCAAGTTTTCTCTAGATAATTTGACTGAACAAAGAAAAATGACAGAAAAAAATCCTTTTTTGTACCACCTCCAAGTGGTCACTCAAACACAAGTTTAGCAGTCACTTAGGAAATATCTTGATTTGCAAAAATTAAAAATTAATAAAAACTAACTTCAGTGAAACAGAGAAAGAACATACATCTTCATCTAAAATGCTTCACTACATAAAGTGAAGGGCTTTCAAGTGTGTTTCAGCAATAAAAGGAAATACAAGACATTATTTCTAGAGCTACTTACACTACTTTATAAGGAACAACAACTTCCTGAAACCTTTAAGAAATGAAGTGTTAGTGTCTCTGTAAGAGTAAACAACTGATGAAAATGAAGAACTAGAGAAAAAGAGAATTTGCGGTTCCTGTCTGTAAAACTGGATACCTCCACCTTAGAAAGGGTCAAGAGCTCCCCAGATGGTGACCATTCTAGAGCAGTTCCTCAGGCCTCACCACTGCTCAAGCACACGTCAGAGGAGCTGTATTCGGGCCACTCTCTTAAATTAGAAACCAAACTCGATAAAGATGAAAACAAGACTCTAATAAAAACACAGGGAGCATGAAGCATCCTTTTTAACCTGCCTGTTTGTGATTAGTTTTGCTTTAATGCAATCAGCACCTCATGCATTCCTGAGACAGTAACCAGAACAAGCAGCCCGGAAGAGTCACTGTTTGATGAAATATGGCAAATCAACTCCTTGAAGAGGATATTATGTTTCAATCAGTTACAGAAAACAGACAAGGATCTGTATGGACATGGATCACACAGCTGTCATTTGAACTAGCAGTTAGGCAAATCTGTGTGTTCTTCAGAGCAATCTTTTGGAACCAGCGCCTCAAGCACTGTTTTCAGAACCCAAAACAGAGCTACCAGCTATATTCCTCATTGAAAGCAATAAGGAATAAAAGTTGGGTATGTTCACATTTTAGGAGAAGCACTTCACAGGCGGCAAGGCTGTTTGACCACAGTTCAATTCAGTTCAGTTTGGATTAGTTCAATCACAGCTGCAGCAAAAGCTTTAGCAGAGAAACCTGTCCCACAATATAGACTGACTTCCAGAATTTTAGATTCATCAAAACTTAAAATTTCAAAAAGCCACAAAAGCAGAAGCTAGAGAGTGCATCAAGCAAGCATGCAGCTCTGCGGATGACAACAGTAACTGGGAATTCTTTCAGGCATTCCATTTTTATTCATCAGATCACTTTCTAAATGCTGGAGAACTAATTAGAGCAACTCTGTAAAACTGTCACTGTGAAGAGAGACACGTTGACTAGACGATGCCCTGCCTACGTCCTCTCTTTTTAACTGCAAGAATAAGGAACAGAGATGCTCTTGCAGTCATTTCAGCTGCTTCATTTTGGTACTGCATTCCACAGGTTGTAGGAGGGCAGGAACGCAGGGATAATTTTGTCATTACTGCGTTCTGGAGGGTTAATAAGCGGCAAGTGCAAACAGTACATCAGGCAGCACTTGCTAACATACCTGAACAAGCAAGAGATGGTGCCAACGGACGACCGTCAGGCAGAAATCTTTGTCTATGTGCCGCTGGTCAAAGGCATTAGAACAAACGTTCATGCACTGTTTTCATCTCGGGCTTATCAGCTCTTCACTAGCTGCTTGTCATGCATGTCACTTTTCTACAATCAAGTTTTCAGGCATTACCTTTGGTACTGTCCTAGCTCTGGATTAACAGCGTGTAACGTTTGCGTCTTAAATGCAAAAAAACAGGGAATAGAAGAAGCCAAAGCAAACATAGCCTTAAATAGATCAGAGCAGCATGAACTGATGCAGACCTCGTTCTCCTCTTCATCCCTGCTCTGGCCACACCTCTGCACAACCAGGAACAAGAGCCGTGTACCCAGCCTGCCAACTCACCTCTACCCAAACACTGCAAGTTTGACGCACAGACTTGCACAGTATCTGTTCCCAGTGCTCCAAACCAGGGTCAAGAAGAGATGAGGTGAAACCAAACTCCCTAGATCTTGATCACACAGGACAAAGAGGCATGGATAACATGGAAGAGGTCAGGAAGAGAGACACAGAGGTAGGGACCACTGCCCTCCCTGCATCCCCGAGTAATGAGAAGGAGAACATAGAGGTAACAGGCACCCTTGGACGTGGCTCCACTCTGGCCTCTCGCTTTCAAGTGCGGCACCAACACGCGCGCATCCATCCACATCCCCTTGGCCATGACCAAATTGCTATCCCTCCCATTAGCATTTACACACAAAATCGTGAATTTAGGGGATGAAGAATGAAGCAAAAGCAGTAAAATGAAGTTCATTATCTTGGTTACGCTGCTAACCTGTTCTCACAAACCTGAGAATGACTGACACCAGATCACAAGAACGATGATTAATCATGCAAGCATGTCCTGTTTATAAAAGGAACAAAGTAAAAGTTAGCATCTAAAGAGTATTTCATGTGCTGCAGTTTTAAAAGATTTCATTACCAGCAGACACAAAGCTCTATCCAGTAAGCTTTTATTGACTTAATGATGTATATGCAGGGAAAAAAAAAATCTATTTTACTTCCATTGTATCTTCAAGTTTTAGCATCTTATTAAAAGAAGAACTAATATACTCAGCAACTATTCTAAATTTCTGGCAGAGTTCCTTACTTTCTACATCTTTAAAGTCAATGCAATCACACTGTTATAAATCCATTACATATTCTGACTTCTATCACACATAGACTGAAGATTTTTTGAACTGTCTTTTTCAATTGTCACTCAGAAAGCTAACATTTAGATAGGACACAAAACAACACATGCTTTTCTTGTAGCATCAATGTCTTTTTTTTTAATTTAGTATAAAGAAAGAGAGGAAATAAACATGCGCCACACAAGTGCTCCTCCTAAAGAAGAGCAAAGACTTCCAGCACTTTCTCAGACCTGATATTTGTTTGCATTTTTACACCCATCTTACACTTATAATGTAGAAAAGAGAATCCAGAGAATCTAATACTCTGGAATACATTTGAAAGAACCTCACATTAAGATTCAACTCATACTGTAGTCTTTCCATACAAAAGTTTGTATGTTGTCATTTCAAACTATCATCTGGATCGTTTATTGGACAGACCTATAAAATATTGAGCACATTTGGGGAAAAAAAAAAAAAACTAGCAAATCCATACTGGAATTAGAATAGAAACACAAGACAAAATATAACCCAAAGTCTTCCTTAGAAAATGAATAAATTTCTCCGAACGACACATTAAAATCCTGAACTCCATATACTGGATACATAATACACAAACAAGAGGGGCAGGAACGCAGTGACAGCAGTCACAAAACACAAGCTTTTAAAGGGCAAGGAATCTGCCCGAAATGCTTGGATTAATTTAATTTTTGCTGCTCATCTGAACCAATACTGGATACATTTTACCTATTCAGATATTTCTCTACAGATGGCAAATGGAAGCACAGAGGTGGAATGACTTGCTCGTTCGCACTGAGATCCACGGACACCAGGCCCTGCGGTCCCAGCCGACGCTCACGCTCTCCAGGAGGAAGAGCCAGGGGCACAAGGAAAATCCCTCCCATCCCACCCCGTAAGTTTTCCCGGTCTGGCACACTTGCACGCGCACCCGCGTTGGGATGGAAAAGGGCCCGTGTCGAGCCTCCCCTGGCAGCTCCCTGCCCAGAGGCGCTCCCGAGAAGACGGGGGATTGCGATGGGGCAAAGCTCCTGCCAAACCTCTCCCAGAGGAAAGGGCAAAACCCATCTGCCGGCCCCTTGGAAAAAAAAAAAAGAAAGAAAAAAGAAAGAAAACAGTAAATCGCCCGTGTGAAGAAACTGGAAAATGAGGTGGAATGAAGCTCCGGGTCGGGCCCGTGCTCAGGCCCGCGGCGAGGCGGGAGCGGCCTCCGCGCGCCGCCGAGGGGAGCGCGAAGGGGTGCGCGAAGGGGAGCGCTCGCGCGCGGCCGTTAGCGGCCGGTACCGCCCCCCGCCCACCT